AAAGCCGGAAGTGGCGCTGTGGCTCAAGTGGTAGAGTGCTAGCCTTGAGCTGAAGAGCTGAGGGACAGCACCCAGGCCCAGAGTTCAGGCCTCACGACCGAACCCAAAAAAAAAAAAGAAAAAAACAAAACAAAACAAGCCAGGTGTGGTGGTGCACATCTGTAATTGTAGCTACTGAGGAGGCAGAGATAGGGGACTTTGAAGTTTGAGGCTAACCTGGGCAAAGTTAGCAAGACCCCCATCTCAAAAGTAAACTACAAAACAAAAGGGACAGGCACGTGGCTCAAGTGGTAGGTAGAGTACTTGCCCAGCATGCATGAGGCCTTAGGTTCGACCCCCAATCCTGCCAAAAAACAAACCATAGAAACCAGGTGAAGTATATACACTTTGGGAACATTGTTATTCAGGTAGCAGAGAAATGAAAGATCTAAAATGGGACACCAAAGTGATGGAAGACAATGCAGGAAGTAGCTACCATCTATAGGGCTGTGGCACATAGAAAGACTGGTTCTGTCTTATCAAAGGAATCAATAGGTCCCAGAGAGCCACATGTTGATAGAACAGCACATTAAGGATTGTGTCCATTTTGCCATCTTCTGTTCATGGTCTTCTTTAGTTCCCATGACTTACCACCCCTCATCTCACTCCCAACTCATACTGGCAGAGCAAACTGGCAAAGCAGAAATCTGTTTGCAAATTCCTATGCAAAATATAGAAGGGTATTTGGGGAGCTAAGAGAAAAAGAGGTACAGGGTCCCACAATGCTACCCAACAGATTTTAAAATGCTGGCCCTTACAATTTTTAAATGAGTGTTTATAGAATGCTACTGTATTTAACATATCTAGAAAAGTTTGTATTTTAAAAGTTTTAATTCAATAAGGATATTTATATACTATAAATGTCCTATACAACCTTCAAGACTTGAAAAAAGACTTCTACTATTTCTACATGAAAAAACATACAAATACGAATATTTAGAATCAAATGGACTCCCAATTACCTGCTGTTCCATAACCACTCGAGCAATGGCAGCTTGAACTACATTGGTACGATCCAGGCAGTCCATGCAATTAATTCGAAAAATTCCTTCCTGTTTGCATATTACCCCAGCTTGATCAACCCTTTTCAAAAACAGTGAGATTACTCTTTGAAATACTTCAATCGAATTTTCAAAAAGCTTAATTCTTAAAGTAGTTATGACAATGGCAACAATAGTGTTGTCTAGAATAACATTATATATCCATCATTACTGACATTACATTCACATACAATAACTTGGTAGTGAAGACATCATTATCCCCATTTCAGGAAACAAAACAATTAAAAACTAAGGTACAGCTGGGTGCCAGTGGCTCACACATTATCATCCTAACTACTCAGAAGGCTGAGATCTGAGGATCATAGTTCAAAGCCAGCCTGGGCAAGAAAGTCTGTGAGACTCTTATTTCCAATTAACAACTAAAAAATCAGAGGTGGAACTGCTATGGTTCAAGTGGTAAGAGGGCTAGCTCTGAGCAAAATGAAGCTCAGGGACAGGCCCTGACTTCAAGCCGCAGGACTGGCACTAAAAACAAACAACCAAACAAGAAAACCCTAAGAAATAGAGTGATCCACCTCAAATCACAACTACACGGCAGAGAGGACACAACCCCAGGCTGTTTTCCCATATTCTTATAAACAAGGAGGCAGTTTAAACACCACCTTGTCATCTTGTTCCTCCCTCTTTGACTCAAAGCAGAAATGCACCTAAGCTATCTAAGAAACAGGCTAATCAACTTTGCCATCCAGTGGGAAGTCATGCAGCATGTCTTGTCCCTCTAATTTCACTGGCCACCTGTTGTCATCTTAAAACCAAATGTTCCCTCCTGTCCTTTAAGTCGATTTTTCTTCCCACATCTACCTTCTGCAGCGTGAGAATCATTCTCCTTCTCTTTTAATTTTGAAGGGCCTGAAAATGCTATACTTCTCAGCCCTTTTCCCCAAAATAGGGAGGATAACAAGAGAAAATGTAGACCACAGAGCATGAAAAATAAGCTCAAGTTCTTAAAGAATAGTTACAGACCATTTTATGTAATTTTGCCCAATCATCTGATACCTGTTCCCTCTTCAAAGATAGCACTGACTAATGATCAACAGCACTCTCATGAAAATAACAGAAAATGGGAAGCAAAACAAAAAAGATATCCACAATGTGTTCCCAGCATGTTGCTATTATGTTAATGCTTGTCTGTACTATACAAATTCATATGATTTCACAGACCAAGAATCTCTTTAAAAACTGGGAGAGAGCAGGGGAAGGAGTGATCTTGTCCAAAAAGAAATGCACTCTTTACCTGGCTTATATAACTGTAATCCCTCTGTACATCACCTTTATAATAACAATTTTTTTGTAAAAAGAATTTCTTAAAATAACTTATGAGATACCTACCAACACCACTTCATGTCAAGAATAATATCATAAATGGCATCTGTTAGAGTTTGAACATTCTCAAACTTCATTCCTCGGCTAAAATCCATTCCAGAAAAAAAGAGAGAAAGAAAACAACCTTTAATATTATGGTACACATTTTTTTTAACTTAACATATTAAGAGGCTAGAGACATAGATCAATGGTAGAACATTTGCCTGGCATGAAATAAGACCCAGAGAACCAATCCTAGCATTCCAAAAAGACTTCAGCTTGCTTGCTTTGCTTGCTTGCTTACTTACTTACTTTATTTTTCTTTCTGTCTGTTTTTCTTGTCTGTTGCTCTTTTTTTATTTTTTTTTGTCAGTCATGGGGCTTGAGCTGAGGTCCTAGACGCTATCCCATGCTCTTTTGCTCAAGATTAATGCTCTACCACTTTGAGCCACAGGGCCACTTCTGGTTTTTGAGTGGTTAATTGGAGATAAGAGTCTCACAGGGACTTTTCTGCCCTGGCTGGCTTCAAACCATGATCTTCAGATCTCAGCCTCCTGAGTAGCTAGGATTATAGGCACGAGCCATCAGTGTCTGGCTGCCTTTCTTAAAATGGGATTATTTTGGAAAAGTTAAGAATTGCTACTGTTAAGTATATGATGCAGGCAGTTCTACAACTATCAATGATCTGCACTGAGACAGCAAGCATAATTAAGAAGACACTTAAGTTGGCATGGTGGCTCAAGTCTGTAATCCTAGTTGCTTGGGAGGTGGAGATCCAGGGATTATAGATTGAGGGCAGCAAGGGCAATAAAAGTTTACAAGACACACTTTCAGTCAATGATAGGGCATAGTGGCATGTGTCTGTCGTTCCCAGTGACACAGGGAAGCACAAATAGGAATATCCCAGCCCAAGTGGGCCCAAGCACAAAGCAAGACTTCATTGCAAAAATAATGTATGCCCAGGCACTGGAGCTCAAACTTTTTTTTTTTCTTTACAATCATGGGGTTTGAACTCTGGGCCTGGGCACTGCTCCCTAGCTGTTTTGCTCAAAGATAGCACTCTACTACTTGAGCCACAGTGCCTCTTCGAGTTTTTGCTGTGATTAATTGGAGATAAAGAGTCTCACAGGCTTTCCTGACCAGGCTGGCTTTGAACTACAATCCTCAGACCTCAGCCTCCTGAATAGCTAGAATTATAGGTGTGAGTCACTGATGCCTGACAGGTAGCTCATACTTATAATCAACTCAGGAGACTGAGATCTGGGAGTCAGGGTTTGAAACCAGCCTATGCAGACAAATCTTTGAGACTCATTTTTTCTTTTTAATCAGCAAGAAACCAGAAATGGAGGCGTGTCTCTAGTGGTAGGATACCCAGCCATTAGCAATAAGGCAGAACAAAAGATCAAGGCCCAGAGTGCCAGTGAACACATACACACAAGCACACAAACACACACACACACACACACACACACACACACGTGCAAAATTGATACAAAAAGGGGCTGGAGGTGTGACTCAAGTGGTATAGCACCTGCCTACCAAACACAAGGCCGAGGTCAAACTCTAATACTGAAAAAACACAAATACAAGGAACCACACTACATGTATCAGAAGTGCCTTTTTCCATCAAATCTCCAATATATAGGTAAGTTAACACAGATTAGAGCCAGGATTGTGGCAAAAAGGACCTTCTTTCAGAATACACCTAGTTTAAAGAGTACCATCAACATGATTCATCAAATGTTTTTCAAAAGTAAACTCATCTCCAAGGACAGAAGTATTATAAAATGAGTCAGAAGGATAATTTTTAGCAAGAAAGCTTCATTACTTCTGCTAGGCTGAGACCCAAGAAAAACAGAAACAATCCGTAAGTTCTTCAACCAGTGTGATCAAAGCAAAAAAAGAACTTACAGTCTCCAAGTCATTTTGCAACAGAAGGACTGTCAATATTTTGTTAACAATTTAATTCAAATTTTTAACTGAAATAAGGTCCATATGAAAACCAAAACTAGGGGGCTGGGAAGGTGGCTCAGTGGTAGAGCACTTGCTTTGCATGCCTGAGGCCCTGGGTTAGATTCCTCAGCACCACATAAGCAAAAAGAAAAAAGCCGGAAGTGGCGCTGTGGCTCAAGTGATAGAGCGCTAGGCTTGAGCTGAAGAGCTGAGGGACAGCGCCCAGGCCCAGAGTTCAGGCCCCACTACCGGACCCAAAAAAAAAAAAGAAAAGAAAAAGAAAACCAAAACTAGGTAAATAATTCCCTTCTTAAAAAGAGGAAAAGAAATTTTTCTTCCCAGCAAAAGCTGAGATGTGAAGACCCAATGGCAGCACCTAGAACAAGCACTGCAAATGATCAAAATGTGTCTCAGGGGGCACCTCACCAGTGCTCATGGAAGTCGAAGGAAACGTAAGTGAGGTGGGAGTTGTTAAAGAGCAGCACTTGCTTCAGGTACGCATCACCAATAATTTTCTCTCTTCCTGCCTGGTCTACCAAGTTAATAATAACCTATGAGTCAAGAAAAAAGAAAAAATAATAAGATTGATTAGATGTTAGAATCATAATGTGATTTTTAATGATTTATCTAGAATTACATCTTCAAAACATTTTATGGGCATAATAAAAAATTAATCTACTCAAGCATCAACTTTTTCCCATAAGAATAAATTTTTATTTACTATATAGTTTTTTGTTTTATGTTGTTTAGTTAATTGGAGATAAATGTATTACAAACTTTCCTTCCTGGCCTGGCTTTCAACTGTGATCCTTAGATCTCAGCTTCCTAAGTAGCTAGAATTACAGGTGTGAGCCACCAGCACCCAGCATAAATTGGGTTTTTGAGCACTATTTATACCAGTGGTGTAAAATACTTATCCATACATTTGCAACAACAAATTATAATACACAATGAAAATATAGTCCTTTATAATAGCAAATACTTGAAATACCTAGAATAATTTTAAAAGAAATGTGTAAAACCTACAAACAGAACATTATAGAACTACTGAAATAAAAGAAAACCTGAATAAATGGAAATACATACCATGTTGGTGAATGATAAGATTCAAGATGTCAAGTCTCCCCAAATTAATCTATACACTCAACAATCCCAATCAAAATTCGACCAGGATCTTTTTATGGACTTGACAAGTTAATTCTAAGGTTCATCTGGAAGAGTAAATATGTAGGAAAAATTTGGAAACTAATAATAAAGGGGGACTTGCCCCATTTGAAGAACAAAACATTCTATAGAGCAACTAAAATTGTGGAACTAACGTAGAAACAGAAAGCTGATGCAACAAAACAGAATAGCCCAGCAAAAACACCTCCTGAGGAATCGAGGATACGCTTACCACCAGTGTGGACAATATGGATGATTTTATCATTACTGGTGGGTTAACTGGATACATAAAGGAGGGACTCATAATCACTCTTTGTGTCTCAATAATTATCCACTAAAAAATTCTTGATGCATTAATCATCTAAATATAAAAAAGCAGAAGAAAACTTGGAGTAATGTTTCCAAAATTGTAAGTTGGATGTGACTTTCTAAGCCTAACATACAAATGAGAAAGGATAAAAAGGAAAAGATGGACAGATGCTATGTCATTAAAATTTCAACTCTATGTATCAATGACAGTATAAGCAAAGGATTTTTAAAAAGGACTACTCAGCAGAATATATCTGAAGCACAAAATCAATAATATGTAAAGAGTGTTACAAAATAAATTCACAAGAGAAAAAAATGTGTTGCTAATAAACATAGGGCTACAGCTTTAATAACAAAATGCAAATTTCAAAATAGAAAATTAGTTTTCACCATATAAAGGTAAATTTAAATACTAACACAAGCAGTACTGGGGTCTGTAGGGAAATGACTGGCTTTCATTGTTTCTACAAGTGACTAGTGGGCTCTTTGGGAATAATAAAGCAGTAGGCATCAACTTTAATTAGACATACAACCTTTTTATCCAGCACACTCACTTCAATTTTATTCTATAAAATACACAAGTATCCAAAACACACATAAAAGATTATAGCTTTTTCTTTGTTGTTGCTCTGAGACGGGGACTTGAACTATCTGATGCTTTTGCTCACTGGCTGTCCACTCTACCACCTAAGCTGCACCTCAAACCCTACATAGCATTTTTTTCCTTTGGGTCAGTCCTGGGGCTCAAACTCAGGGCTTGGGCACTGTTTCTGAGCTTCTGGCTCAAGGTTAGTACTCTACCACATGAGCCACAGTGCTACTTTGGCTTTTTCTAAGCAATCTGAGATTAAAACAAAAGTCTCATGGCTTGCTGCAAAACTATCCTCAGCTCTCAGTCTCCTGAGTAGTTAGGATTACAGAGTGAGCTACCAGCTCCCAACCTTTTAAAGTAACAAAAATAACTGGTCCAAAGGTCCATCAGTGGAGAAATGGTTATAACAGCCATGAAATCTTCAATGGTATAGCTCTCTTTTGACTTAAGCTTCAATTATGAATATGCATTTAGCAAGATATTAGGGTTTTTTGTTGTTGTTGTTACAAACAAGAAATGGCTGCTCAAGGCTCAGAGCAAATCTGGAAGTAGCACAAATCTGGAAGTAGTGTCAGAATGGCTGAACTGAGTGACTACAAACACCATTAAGGACATGAGCTCTTCCCACCTTTTTTACCCTACCAACAAGGTAGTTAAGCCCCCTGCTAGTTCATTCACAGTCTTTAAATAGCTGCAGCAGCTCCACATCAAATCCAGATACAAGCACTACAGGAAGGCTGCCAGTTCTTGTGTCCTCTTTATTATAGCAGGAAACTCTCTTGCTGCAGCTTCCCAGGGGAATTTTCCTCATCATAACTCATTGACCAAATAGCCAATGAGCACACACAGGCCTACACCTAAACCAATCACTGGCAAGAGCAATGGTGCCACCTTATTGAGTCAGAATGATGGTGGGCCCAGAAAGCAATTACCCAAGAGAAGGAGGTAGATAAATGAACACAGTTGGAGTACTGTTAGAAATTAGGAAGTGTCTGCTCAATACACACACCTACAAATTGATGTGAAAGTCAATAGGGAGCAAGGAGGAGTGTGGGATGAGGATATTTCCTCTGCTACAGATCTCCTATTGCTTCATTTTACAACTGTGTGTTATATTTGAATATGGTTTGTTCTTTATACTACTTATAATTACATATATTGTTAATTGTGGAATGATATGTGAATTTAGATGTAGAATAATGCCAAATCATACTGACAAACAATTCTGTTCCATAAACCACCCTCGAGGTAACTTTGTTATCAGTGTCTTTTTCTGCACAGATAACTAAAATGCATTTCTATATGTGTGCCTACTATATACGTGTGTGGAAACAATAAATAGATAAGAACTATATGTAATGTGAATGGCATGATTTTGTTTTGTAGGATTTTTTAAAATAGTAACATACTATATGCTGCTTCAGTTTTTCATTTTCTTTACTGTCTCAACAATGTGATTTTTATTGTGCTTTTATTACCTTTAAGTAGTTGTGTGAAGGGTATGTTACAATTCAATATATCAGTTTGCTAAGTACAATACATCTTGATTGATATCACCTCACAATGTGATTTTTAAGATCTTCTCATCTTAGTAAACATGAGTCTACCCACTAAGTAGCTGTATTAAATATGATAGAAATGATGCACTTTATTTTGCCACTGCATTGACCCCCTGATGAGCAGGGATTTTTTTTCTTCCATGAATGTTCTTATATATATATTTCCTTGATTGAACAGGTTTTTCTCAAGTAGATTTAAAATTTTTCTAATCAAGGTTTAGTTGTTCCACATCTGTGCTAAAACTTGGTATTTTTTCCCTTTCTTAGTGTAGCTATTCTGGTGTATGAGTCATGGTTTTAATTTGCATTTCCCTGATGACTAACCAAGAGGAACACCTTTTCACAGGTCTTCTGGCTTTATGGAAACCATTTTACATGAAAAGTCTGCTAAGATATTTTATACAAGTTTATTTCAGCTTGTATCTATTTTTTAATGAATTTATAAATGCCTTTAAGTATGTTGTAGACGTAAGACCTTTATCATATATGTACATTGAAAAAAACTAAATATTCTTTTCCTACGTTATGATTTTCCTTTCATTTTCTTACTTGTGCTTTTTATTTTCCCTGCTACTGTGGCTTGAATTCAAACTGCACTCTTTCTAGGCAGGGGCTCTGCTGCTTCAGCCATGCTCCCAGCACTTATGTATGCGTGTGTGTGAGTGTGTATATGTTTGTGTGTGTGTTGGTTGAACTCAGGAACTGGACATCTTCTGGATTTTTGGTGGTTAACTGGAGATAAGAATATCATGAACTTTCCTACCTAAGCTAGCTTTGAACCTCAATCCTCAGATCTAAGCCTCCTGAAGAGCAAGGATTACAAATATGAGCTACCAGTGCCTAGTTGCTCTCAGTACTCTTAATGATGCCTCTTAATAAACAGAAGTTCTTTATTTTAAGACTGTAAAGTCAAACTTGTCAGACTTTATCATTATATTAGTTTGGTAGGAACTCAAATCTATTCAATATCGAGTTTTCCCTTTCAGGAATACAGTCTTTCCTTATTATCTTTTTCTGTGTTTATTATACCTTTCAGTTATTTCTTCCTATTTGTTGTATAATAGAAATATAACCTACAGTATTACTGATAAGAGGTAAGAACATTACTGTTCCACATGAATCTTTTATGAAAGTCTAGAATTTTATATTTTACCCAACAGATTTTAATTTATTTTGGTTTATCTGACTGCATTCCTACATGTGAGTGTATGAACACATGTGATCCATGAGTAGACAAAAAAAGGGTACTGACAGATACATATAAAATTGTTGCCTCGGGGCTGGGAATGTGGCTTATGGTACAGTGTTTGCCTAGCATACATGAAGCCCTGGGTATAACTCCTCAGTACCACATAAACAGAAAAAGCCAGAAGTGGCTCTATAGCCCTTGAGCAAAAAAACAATGAAGCTCAAGGACAGTGCCCAGGCACTGAGTTCAAGCCCTAGGATTGGCCAAAAAAAAAAAAATGTTACCACCAAGAGGTAAATGGGACTGAAATGACTTCTTTTTCTTTTTTATTTTCTTTTTCTTTCTTTTCTTTTTTTCAGAGATAGTGCCCAGGCACAAGGGTTTCAAGGTCACAAGGTTAGCACTTTACCACCTGAACACAGTTCCACTTCTGGCTTTTTGCTGGTTAATTAAAAATAAGAGTCTCATGGACTTCCTTGCCCAGGCTGGCTTCGAACCATGCTCTTCAGATCTTAGCTTCCTGATTATATGGAAGTACAGGTGCAAGCCATTGAGTGCCTGGCTGAGATTAATTATTTGTTAGTCTAGATGCTTCTTGGATTGCTCTAAAGTAGCTGAATCCATCATTATTAAGGAACATTAAGAATATTTATAGTTTAAATATGTTTTCTAACTTCATGACAAATTGAGCTGGCTGCTTAATTATGAATAGTATACTGTTATTTTCATGAAATGTAAAGAAATAGATACATAGGCACGTCTACATATGAAGGAACATATTACTACCACATATCAAAGCCCACCTGTTTTTTGTAAATTTTCAGTTGTTCTTCGAAATGGGCACAGAAATAGGCAACAGTTTCCTTTTCACCTACAAAGAAGTGATACAAAATCTATTTTTCCTTCCCATGTTTAAGACAGAAATTAGTGTCTATCCCATCTTTCTTACTTTTAAATAATTTAATGACAGCTTCAATGATCATCTAACCATCATTTTAAAAATAAAATGTTAAGCCAAAACTCTGATTTTTTTCCAGTTAGACTAACCTTGAACATATCTGAAAGTGTCACCTGTGAAATTATGACATTTAATATTGATATATACAACCTACTTCTCAGCGAGGGCTTATGTTACTTACAATAAAAGAATAAAGATCCCTCTTAAAAATGAAATAAAAAGAATGAAGTTTACTAAATTGTACAAAGAATGCAAGGTAACTTTGTAGATAAAAATCTTTTAACTCATCCTCATTTAGCAATTTCTATTTAAATGACTTAACTCATCCTAATACTAAGAATACTAGAAGAAATGAAATTTTCAATGTTTCAAAAAGGTTTTCACTGAGAAATTTAAGTATTTCATTCATTTTTGGACTTCATCTTGGTAAAGTACTTCCCGCTTCTACAAATATTGGCTATAATTACATTTTCCAAAGTCAAACATTCAATAAAGTGCTTTTTAAAACAACAGCAGTCTAATATCTTTGCTCTCTTGTTAGAGAAACTTTTAATGTTAAACAAATGATTTAGTCAACTCCTGTGATTATATTATCTTATACTACATTTCACAATAAGAGTCATTGTTTTGTTTTGTTTTTGCAGTTCAGGGCCTCATACAAACTAGTCAAGTACTTTATCTCTAGACCATATCCCCAGCCCTAAGAGTTATTGTTTTGAATAAAGTATCTAGCAAAGAAAAGTACATATTTGTCAAGTGTCTACTTTTTAAAAAATTCTCTTTGAAATCATCATTTGTAAATCAAATACTTATCATGCTTACTTTTGTCCAGTCGAGGTCTTGGATTGTATCGATACCCAACCTGGCTCCAAAAGACAGGCACAGAACCTCGTGTTTGAATAAATGACAAAGTATGATTATGAACATGAATTAATTGCTCAGTCTCTACATAATTGGCAACATTTCCATTTTTATCCACTCCTCTTCGTTTATAGCGCATTCCTGAAAAAAAATTGAAACAAATATTTGGAAAAATAATTGGTCTGGCCAGATGCCAGTGGCTCATACCTGTAATGCTAGCTAGTCAGGAAGCAGAGATCTGAGAATCAAGGTTCAAAACAGAAAAGTCTCCATGAGACTCTTATCTCCAATTAACCACTCAAAAACCAAAAGTAGCACTATGGCTCAAGTGGTAGAGCACTAGCCTTAAGCACAAAGAGGCTCAGGGACAGCACCCAGGCCCTGAGTTCAAGCCCCACAACCAACCAAAAAAAGAAATTTTGTTCTGGCCAAGAACAGTGGCACAGGGGCTGGGAAGGTGGCTCAGTGGTAGAGTGCTTGCCTTATGTGCATGAGGCCCTGGGTTCAATTCCTCAGCACCACATAAGCAAAAAGAAAAAAGCCAGAAGTGGCACTGTGGCTCAACTGGTAGAGCACTAGGCTTGAGCTGAAGAGCTGAGGGACAGCGCCCAGGCCCAGAGTTCAGGCCCCACGACCGGACCCAAAAAAAAAAGAAAGAAAGAAAGAAAAAAAAAAAGAACAGTGGCACACACTTGGAATTCTCTCACTTGGAAGGCTAAGGCAGGAGGATCAAGAGTTTGAGAGTAATCTAGGCTACAAAAATCATTTAGTCTGCCTAACTTATGCTTCTTAATCAAATACAAGTCCAAGAAGTCATGAAGGTCCCATGTGAATCTGGCAGACAGAACAAAATCACTGTACATATCAATGCTTTTAAAAAGCTGACTCTCAACAGTTTTCCCAAAGATACTAGCTCTCTGTAAGGACCTACCACTATGATAGAGGATGTCAGTTCAAATGCCAATATTCAGAAGCAACTCTCAAATGACTTCCTTCTCTTCTGTATAAATACATCTCCCTGTCTGTCTTTCTCATTTTGCTAACTGTCCTCTTTTCATCCTTCCTTAGAAATTAGTCCCTAACTGTACCACTATACTTCGTCATCAAGCACTTTGAAGTCAGCTGTGCTTCTAAATCCATGATTTCCATACATCTGCATCTTTCCCATCTCACTTGGGATTGATCTGGACTTTATTATTGGGATGGACTTTATTATGATCCTCTACTCACCTGCTCTATGTCTACTCCGGCGTGAAATAAGAGCCACTAAAAATCGTGGGTGAATGTCATCGACACAGGTAGATTCTTGAGGGGGGGTCTCTGGGCTGCTTTTCTCATCATCAGATGATTCAGTATAATTAACCACAAGTTCTTCAATCTGCACAAAACCCTGGATAATGGGGATAATCCAAAAGTCCACATCTGGTGTCTGAAAACAGAATGAACATCATGTTGTTTATATTCACACAGCACTTAAATCCAAACAACAGTCAGCACCTATGTCTATGTGTCTTCAACCATATTTTCTATTTAATGAATGGTAAGGGAAAAGAAAGGAAAAAGGGCTTTTCCTTTCTTCTACAATGATCATTCAAAAAAGTTGGAAAAAAAAAAAAACATAGCACAGGGGCTAAATATCTGTGTACAAATTGAAGTTATATTCCCAACTAGCTCACCTTAAAGAACTCACCCCTAATGTGTCCCAGTATTTCCTCCATGAATAAAGTTTTTTGTGAATTATAAACAATGCATGTGAAATGTTCACAGTGCCTGTCAAATGGTATTTAACACAAATAGCTGTTTCGTTTATTTTTCTTAGTATAGTTGATTTTTAGCCCTCAAATGTATGCTAAATACAATCAACTCTGATCATGTCATTGTGAAACACATAGATGTACTTTATGTCCTAGTTCGCCTAACAAAAATCTAAATAGTAAGTGAATAGCAACAAAAACCCTCTCCATAATTGTTGTATTTTTGAAATGTTATCCAATATAATTAGGAAGGTACTAATCAAAGTTAGTGATATCCTCTTCTGAGGATACTGTACTGAGGACTAAATTCAGGGTCTTGAATTGGTAAGCAGGCACTCTCCCATTAGCCCATACTTCCAGCCCTGTTTTTTGAGAACTTTTCTGCCCCAGACCTCAAATGGTGATTCTCCTGCTCTCAGATCTCAGGTACCAAGGATTACAAGTGTGAGCCACCAGGTTCTTATGCACATTTAAAGGTAAGAACACTCAGATGTCTTTTTGCTTTGTTTGTTGATTGGTCTATTCATTGATTTGTTTTGAGACAAGGTATTGTTATGTAGCCTAGGCCGGCCTAGGACTTGAGAACTTCCTGCCTCATCACCCTGAGTGCTAGGATTACAGGTGTGCACCACCGCATCTGGTTTCAACACATTTCAAACCTACTTGTCTTCTATCATCATGCTCAAAATCCTATCTCAGTTTCTTTTGATTTATGGCGCCTGAAGAAAAGAATCTTAGGAAGGTTATTTAATAATGTAGTTGTGAAGAGTCTACTTGCATCATTTTTTTTTTTTTTTTGTCAGTCATGGGGCTTAAACTCTGGGCCTAGGCGCTGTTCCCTGAGCTCTTCAGCTGAAGGTTTGCACTCTACCAATTGAGCCATAGTGCCACTTCTGGTTTTCTGGTGGTTAACTGGAGATGAGTCTCTCAGACTTTCCTGCCCGGGCTGACTTTGAAGCATGATTCTCAGATCTCAGCCTCTTGAATAGCTAGGATTGAATAGCTAGGTGGCATGAGCCACCGCCGCCCAGCTTTATTTTTTTTTAAATTTTGGTAATAGTGGGGCTTAAACTCAGGACTTCGCACTTGCAGGAACTCTATCATTTCAATCGTGTCCCCCATGGGGCTGGGAAGGTGGCTCAGTGGTAGAGCGCTTGCCTTGCATGCCTGAGGCCCTAGGTTCAATTCCTCAGCACCACATAAGCAAAAAGAAAAAAGCCGGAAGTGGTGCTGTGGCTCAAGTGGTAGGGCATTAGCCTTGAGCAGAAGAGCTGAGGGACAGTGCTCAGGCCCAGAGTTCAGGCTCCACAACTGGACCCAAAAAAAACAAACAAAAAAAAAAAAAAAAAAAAACCATGTCCCCCAGCCTGGACTCATTATTTTTTATCACCATTTTTGTTATTTGTATTTTGTTCTTTTTTTTTTTTTTTTTGGATCCAGTCGTGGGGCCTGAACTCTGGGCCTGGGCGCTGTCCCTCATTTCTTCAGCTCAAGCCTAGTGCTCTACCACTTGTGCCACAGTGCCACTTCCGGCTTTTTTCTTTTTGCTTATGTGGTGCTGAGGAATCCAACCCAGGGCCTCATGCATGCAAGGCAAGCACTCTACCACTGAGCCACCTTCCCAGCCCTTGTATTTTGTTCTTGACAGAAACAAAAAAACACATCTTAGCAAATGTCACTTTTATTCCAAGTTGTCTGTTTTAAATAGTAAAGTTAAAGTGTTCTGATAAAAACTACAAAACACACTAGAACTCCACAGAGCCACTATAAAGGACAAATATTCACCAGAGTCCTCTGTCACTGGGTTTTAAGGATCATAGTTTGAGTACCATCATAAATAGCAACGGGAATACTCTTATGCCTCATTTTCAATAGAGACATAATAGCTGGCTGGCTGAAGACAACACTAGAAAAAGTTAAAATCTGGGGATCACGGTTCAAAGCCAGCCAATGCAGGAAAGTCAGTGATACTCGTATCTCCAATTAACCACCAGAAAACCAGAAGTGGTGCTGTGGCTCAAAGTGGTAGAGCACTAACTAGCCTTGAGCTAAAGAGTTCAGGGATAGAGCCCAGGCCAAACAACAACAAAAGAATTAAGTTAGAATCATTTACACAAGTTACCAATATGGGCAGATAGGAGAGTGAAAGGAGAAAATTTTGAAAGGTTAATTGAAAGGTTCTCTGTGAGCCTATTCATCCATTTGCCTGTTTTATTTAGTGTCTAAAACTAAGTGGTACATGGGGCTGGGAAGCTGGCTCAGTGGTAGCGCTTGCCTCGCATGTATGAGACCCTGGGTTCAATTCCTCAGCATCACATAAACAGAAAAAGCCAGAAGTGGTGCTGTGGCTCAAGTGGTAGTGTACTAGCTTTAAGCTGAAGAGCTGAGGGACAAAGCCCAGGCCCAGAATTCAAGCCCCATGACCAACCATAAAAAATAAATAAATAAATAAATATTTGTTGACTCAACAAGTAAATAGTCTTTGTACAGTTATAATTCTCCAACACATGTGACAGAGTAAAGAAACAGACTAGCGATCTCATCATATTCTGTGTCTTCCCTAAGTTAACCACTGGCAGTGCTGAACTGGCCTTAAGAGATTTGCTTACCTCAAATCCCAGATGAGAAACCAGAGTGGTTTCATTACAGGAAAACTGAGCTCCAACACTCGCAATGGATATAAACAAAATTCCTCTTTTCAGAAACTCTAAGGACCTGAGTTCCATAGCCTTGTATTACTGCCCTCCTATGGGAACCAGCTAAACAGGCCAGTAGGGAAGCAGTGAAATTATGAACTGCCTTAAAATAGAGTAGTAGTTTTTCCTAGTTAAATGATTCCCTTCCACACAGGGGAAAACATTAAAGTAAGATTTCACAATTTATATTAACACAATTAAAAAGCATTTGCCTTAAATTTACTGCCAACAGGAAGGATATTTAAAAAAACAATTACTCACACCAATCTCTATAAGATCTTGTATCATATATTTATTCCAAAAAAATCGATCATCAACCTATTAAAGGAAAGAAAAAAAAGTTCAGAAACACATTATTGTTGAGTTTTCTAATAAAATACAAAATGGCCCCTCAGCTGTTCCACAGGACACTGCTTGAGCTATGGGTGGTACCTTCTGCCACAGAGACCGGCTGTCCTTCTCCCCAGAGCTCTGCCTCTGCACCGAATTGGTCAGATCATAGGTCAAACTGTAGTAAAAGGATTCTGAGTCCATGAACATCTTCAGCAACTCTTCAAGTAATCTTCTTTCCAACTTCTCCTTCTCTTTACTTTCTTTAACCTATAGAAAATAAATTTCCCATTACTGCAGGAACTAAATGTAATATATTTGGATGATCCAAAACTTTCGAGTAAGAATAATCCCAAAGATCTGAGGAAAAAAAGAGTTCAATATAACAAATGGATTGAAAATAAATTTACTACCAACCAAAGTACCTTCTGACTTAAGACTAATCAAGAATGAATGCAAAACACGTATCAATTCAACTCTTACTTTCTTTTTATTAGGAGCAGACACATTGGATTTAATATTTGTAAAGGTCTTCAGTAGAAACTTGGAGTCATCAGGAGATGGTATAATCTTCTCTGGTTTGTTAATTCCAAAATGATGCTTCTTACAGAGCTACATAATTCAGAGAGAAAAAGATAATTCATTATTAAGTTCTGCTTGCTAGATGTTCAAGGCTAAGAGTACAAGTGAATGCTTTACTCACATATTTGGATTAAAGTACTTCAAGAATTAGTGATAGTGGATAAAGAATACAGCTGTGTTTTCAATGATTAGAAGTCACTTAAACATGCAACACAGGCCAGAGGTATGGCTCAAATGGTAGAGTCTGCCTGGTAATTGCAAGACCCAGAAATCTAACCCTAGTACCACATTAAAAAAAGAAAAACAGGCTGGGCTCTGGTAGCTCATGCCTGTACTCCTAGCTACTCAGGAGGCTGAGATCTGAGGATCGAGGTTCAAAGCCAGCCTGGGCAGGAAACTCTGAGACTCTTATCTCCAATAAACCACTAGAAAACCAGAAGTGGCACTGTGGCTCAAGCGGTAGAGTGCTTGCCTTGAGCCAAAGAGCACAGGAACAGCGCCCAATCCCAGAGTTCAAGCGCCACAAGAAAAGAAAGAAAGAGAGAGAGAGAGAGAGAGAAAAGAAAGAGAGAGAGAGAGAGAGAGAAAGAAAGAAAGAAAGAAAGAAAGAAAGAAAGAAAGAAAGAAAGAAAGAAAGAAAGAAAGAAAGAAAAAGAAAGAGAGACAGAAAAACAGAAAGACAACACAAAAAAATTTCAAGGAAGGATATACTTAGGATTTAAACGCAGAAAGTTCAAGTTAGAACTATGATTTTAAATTACTTCTATGTGAGGAATTAAATGTTCTAGTTAATATTATTTGTTTTGGCCGGGCGCCGGTGGCTCACGCCTGTGATCCTAGCTACTCAGGAGGCTGAGATCTGAGAATGGCGGTTCAAAGCCAGCCCAGGCAGGGAAAGTCCATGAGACTCCTATCTCCAATAAACCACTAGAAAACCGGAAGTGGCACTGTAGCTCAAGTGGTAGAGCGTTCACCTTGAGCTGAAGAGCTGAGGGACAGCACCCAGGCCTAGAGTTCAAGCCCCATGACTGACAAAAAAAAAAAATATATATATATATATATATATATAATTTGTTTTGAAACTGGCATCTAAAAATAAATACACTGCAAAATAAACATTTTTGATGTCTCAGGACTGTTACTTTACATACATCTGTGCTAAATATTTATTCATTCTAAATAACCAGACATTCTGGTTGAAAGGATCTGCTGCGTCTGTCCTACTAGGAACCTTAAAAGTGTGACACTTCAACTGATAACTTTCCTTCTATTCTTATATGCACTAATGAAATCAGAAGAATAATATACATTTGTGCCCAGAAATTAGTTAAATGAAAGCTGGGTCCCACTAATGAAGGTAATGAAGGAGAGAGGACTCATAGCTATGTAGAGAAAAGAGAATAAGAGAGAAAGTTCCAATCCAGTTAGAGACAGGGTTTTATATGCAATTTCAACATATGAAGCAAATGTTTTGAAAAGTGCCTAAGAATTCTATTAATAACATGCAACCTGATTCCACTCTTTCAACATAGTCATTTTATTTCTAATACTAAGTGGGAACTCCCATTAAGAGATGCTTTACTGGTCTGAGCATGATAGGATTATGTGCCTGTAATCCTAGCACTTTGAGATGCTAAGGCAGGAGGATTGAGAGTTCAAAGACACGGCCCAAAAGCTGGCCTGAGCAAAAACTAAGACTCTAACTGAAAAATAACTAAAGCAAATAGGGCTAATAAGGGTGTAGCTCAAGATAAGTGATAAGGCATTTACCTAGAAAGCATGAAGGCCTGAGTTCAAACCCCAATGTAGAAAAAAAAAATTAAGGCAAAACTCATCTTTCTATCTTAACCAGAAATCTTTCTATCTCTTAAAACAGAAATGGAAAATTACTATCAATAGAAGTGAATTATTTTAATCTTCTATATAGTTACTTTTTCTTTTTCTTTTTTTTTTCGATCATGGGGTCTGAACTCTGGGCCTGGGCGATGTCCCTCAGCTCTTCAACTCAAGGCTAGCACTCTATCACTTAAGCCACAACACCACTTGCGGGTTTTTCTACTGATGTGGTGCTGAGGAATCGAACCCAGGGCCTCATGCATGCAAGGCAAGCACTCTACCACTAAGCCACCTTTCCAGCCCTATATAATTACTTTTAAGGGAAAAAAGTATAGCCTAGTCTCTCAGTCCTGCTCCAAGGGAAAAAAATACAAAAATCAGGAATAGACAAAATCATTTCTTAGAATCCCTTGCAATCCTAAGACTCTGGGTTTAGACATAGCACTGGGAATTTGGACCCACAGCACAGACAGCTTCCCTTCCCAAAGGCACAGGCAATTCTGCATATTACATGATCATCACACCTTGATGCACACATAGGCAGGTATTCCTACAGTTTTCCTATTGCTATTGCAAGTTACTCTTCACAACACAGATTAAAGGTGGCTGCTTGTTGCTTAAGAAAAGGCAAATACAGGGCTGGGAAGGTGGCTCAGTGGTAGAGCGCTTGCCTTGCATGCCTGAGGCCCTGGGTTGGATTCCTCAGCACCACATAAGCAAAAAGGAAAAAGCCAGAAGTGGTGCTGTGGCTCAAGTGATAGAGCGCTAGCCTTGAGCTGAAGAGCTGAGGGACAGTGTCCAGGCCCAGAGTTCAGGCCCCACAACCAGACCCCCCCCCAAAAAAAAAGCCAGAAGTGGCGCTGTGGTTCAAGTGCTAGAGCACTAGCCTTGAGCTGACGAGCTGAGGGACAGCGCCCAGGCCCAGAGTTCAGGCCCCATGACCGGACCAAAAAAAAAAAAGGAAAAGGCAAATACATTCTCTCACTTTCTAAGTTGTTATCTATACCCACCTAGAGATAAAACTTTAAACAGATATGAGGTGGGAAACTAATACGGAAAACTAATATGTAGCTATCTCTTAAGGCAATGAGATACAGCAAACAAGATATACAGAAAGAGGACAGAAGCCTATAAAACTTTAAAAAGTATTTTTTAAAGAAACATCTATGCTTCCATTTATCTGAACCCTACAGACTGATACTCTTATATAGATGAATTTTTAAATGGCACACTATCTTGAAAAACAGTCCCAGCAGTTCCTCTAAAAGTTAAACCCAGAATTACCAAATGTCCCAACAGTTCTATCCCAAATTAAAGATTCAAGAAAAATAAACCTCCATCAAAAATGTGTATGCAAAATTTGGCACTATTCATAATAGCTAAAAAATGGAAAAAACTCAAATCTCCAACAAGTGATGATGAGTTTTAAAAATATATGATGCAATCACATAAGGAAATGTTTTTTTAGTAATAAAAAGGAATAAAGCACCAGTATATGTTACAATAAGCATGAACCTTGCAACCACTATGCTAACTAAAAGAAGTCAATCACAAAAGCTACCTAAGGTCTAATTCCACTCATATGAGCTGTCCAGAGTAGATGACATACACAGAAATAGATCAAGATCTCCCACATTTTAGGGGAAATGAGTAATGATTGGCAATTTACTTGGCAGGACTCTTTCTGGAAGTGAAAAATCACTGAATTGTATACTTCAAATGAGTGAGCTATATGAATTTTGGCATGTGAAGTATTTTTTGTTTGTTTTTGGGGGGACTGGGGGGTTTTTTTGTTTGTTTTTGTTGGTCATGGGCTTGAACTCTGCGCCTGGTCCCTGTCCCTGAGCTCTTCAGCTCAAGGCTAGGGCTCTACCACTTGATCCACAGTTTCACTTCTAGCTTTTTTTTTGGGGGGGGGTCCGGTTGTAGGGTCTGAATGCTGTCTCTCAGCTCTTCAGCTCAAGGCTAGCGGTCTACCACTTGAGCCATAGCACCACTTCTGGCTTTTTTCTTTTTGCACATGTGGTGCTGAGGAATCGAACCCAGGGCCTCATGCATGCAAGGCAAGCACTCTACCACTGAGCCACCTTCCCAGCCCCACTTCTAGCTTTTTTTGTAGTTTAACAGAGTTAAGAGTCTCATGGACTTTCCTGCCAGGTCTGGCTTTGATCTGTGATCCTCAGATCTCAGCCTCCTGAGTAGCTAGGATTACAGGCACGAGCTACCGGCACCCAACTTATTTTTTTAGTGGCAAGCAAACAAGCCATATACCTCAGGCAAAATGTCAACTGAGGTAGAAAAATAAAAGCTAATACTAGAAACTTGAAATAAAATTGCTTCTGCTCCAATTACAGAAGGCAAACCAGACATTAGCATAGTGTGACCTGAAGATACTTCAGAAAAGAATAAAGGCAGAAGACTAGGCATCCCAGTTAGAAAGACCCGCCATACAATAAAGGCACAGAACTAACTTCAAGAAGTCTTTTGCTGTGCATAAGACATGTATGTTCAAAAATAATGTCAAGGAAATACATAAAACTACAAATCATTAATAATATTCTGAAACATTTGAAAAATAACAATCCTTAAGAACAAATGCTAACAACCCAACGGAGCACCTTGTCTGTGGTAGGCAAACCACTCAACCTACACCCTTGCCCATAGTAGGCAAATGCCCCACAACCAAGATACCTCCCCAGCTTTCCCTAGAGAAAGGAGTGTGTGTGTGTGTGTGTGCGCGCGCGTGCGCATACGCGCACGCACATGCATGCATGTGTGCATGTTCACACACACCAGTCCTAAGGCTTGAACTTGGAACTTGGGCACTATCCCTAAGCTTTTTTGGCTCAAGGTTAGTGCTCGACCACTTGAGCCACAGGGCCACTTTTGGATTTTTTGTGCTTAATTGGAGAAAAGTTTCATAAATTTTCCTGCCTGGGCTGGCTTTGAACCACAATCCTCAGATCACAACCTCCTAAGTTCGTAGGAGTCACAGGCATCCAGCTCTCTCTAGAGTGGTTTTTAACCAGGATTATTTCTGAGTAGTAGAACAGTTTTCTTCTCCTTTATATCCAGGAAAACATAAATGATTAAGTTCGATTAAGTTCTAAAAGGTCTTTTAAATAGAGTAATATGGAAATTGAAATGAAGATACCAAAGATCTAAATTAACATGTCAGAAAATTAGCAAGAAGTCTATGAATTTCAACATTTTGCCCATTATGCTGTTCATTGTTGTAAAGCTCCTCCACATAAAACAGTATTAAAAGGAGAGAAGAAAAGGCACAAGCACAAATTTCTGAAACTACCTCTAGAGAAGGTATATCCAACTAGTCCCTAAGACAGACAAAACACTTCCTGCATAGTTATTTTTACCTCTAGTTGGTAAGGGTCATATCATATATTCCACCATTATCCTTGGTGATCTGATGGGGCACCAGTGGCTCACGCTTGTAATCCTAATTACTCAGGAAGCTGAGATCTGAGGATCACAAGTCAAAGCCAGCCTGGGCAGGAAAGTCCATGAGACTCTTAGCTCTATTAAACTACAAAAAAAGCTAGAAGTGAAGCTATGGCTCAAATGGTAAAGCCCTAGCCTTGAACAAAAAAGCTCAGGGGCAGTGCCCAGAGTTCAAGCCCTAGAACCAGCAAAATAAAGAAGGAAATAGAGGTTAAAAAAAAAAAAGAGGGGCTGGGAAGGTGGCTCAGCGGTAGAGCCCTGGGTTCAATTCCTCAGCACCACATAAGCAAAAAGAAAAAAGTCGGAAGTGGCGCTGTGGCTCAAGTAGTAGAGCGCTAGCCTTGAGCTGAAGAGCTGAGGGACAGCAGCCAGGCCCAGAGTTCAGGCCCCATGACCAGACCCAAAAAAAAAAAAAAAAGATACAGTAAAAGTTAACTCTCCGCTTCCTGATTCTGCTTCCCCTTCAGATTGGGAGTTTTCAAATTCTATATTGTTTCTATGTGTGTTTGATATGCTAGATTACACAGGTTTTGAAACAAGGATTCTATGACTAAAATGAGGTTTCAAAACCCAGAACACATTACTTTAAAGATATTATCCAGGGGCTGGGAAGGTGGCTCAGTGGTAGAGTGCTTGCCTTGCATGCCTGAGGCCCTGGGTTCAATTCCTCAGCACCACATAAGCAGAAAAGCAGGAAGTGGCGCTGTGGCTCCAGTGGTAGGGCGCTAGCCTTGAGCTGAAGAGCTGAGGGACAGCACCCAGGCCCAGAGTTCAGGCCCCACGACTGACAAAAATAAAATAAAGTAAAATAAAGATATTATCCAAGCCTATAATCCTAGTTACCCAGGGGGCTGAGATCTGAATCAATTCAAAGTCAGTCTGGGCAGGAAAGTCCATGAAACTCTTAACTCCAATTAACCACCAGAAAACTGGAAATGGCACTGTGGCTCAAAGTGGTAACATGCTATCCTTGAGCATAAAAGCTCAGAGATAGCACCCAGGCCCTGAGTTCAAGGGCCTATGACAAAAAATATATATGTATATATTACCCAGCTCTGAAAAATGTGTATTCCTAATCTATTTAAGCTAAATCTTCTCATTTGCTATGACATTTTACCAAGGTTCCATAAAATTTCTCTTGATCTTGCCTTACCTCTAGTTCAAGATCCTGAGGTTCCATTTCAGAAAGCGACAGCACAGCAATTTTGGTAACTTTACAGACTTCATGGTCTCCTGGGAGTTTGCCCACCAGTGCTTTCTGCCGAATTAGAATAAGCCACCATGGAAGATCTGAAAGAGAAAAGAAATATTCACATCTGCTATTTATAGACTGCAATGGTTCTGGATGAATGAGGAAATAACCAACAAAACTAGAGTCTAAAATGTGACTTCTTAAAGTAAAATGCACAATAAAGATACAAAAATAGTCCTCAAATGTGGAAAGTAGCTCAACCTCACAAATAAAGAAATATAAGTTAGAACAATATTGTTACAGCAAAAAAAAATATTGTTACAGCATTCTCATCTATCAGATTGGCAACAATAAAAATTTATAACAGAACTAGAGGTGTAGCTCAACTTGAGCTGCAAGCACAAGGTCCGGAGTTCAATTTCTAATAACATACAACACACAGATATGCACACGTATTATGACAACACATGTGCTGGTAAGTCTATAAGAAACATGACCCGTTGCAACTATGAGAAGTACAAGTTGTCATGTCGAAAACGAACTTTACAACTTTGGGGGGTGGGAAGGGATGTGAAGGGTAAACAAAGGAGGAGGCTGCAATGCTTGATAAGAAATGTACTCATTATCTTGCCCATGTAATTGTAACCCCCTCTGCACAGTATGTTCACAAAAAATTAAAATTAAAATTAAAAAAAAAAAAGAAACATGTTCTCGGGGCTGGGAAGGTGGCTCAGTGGTAGAGCGCTTGCCTTGCATGCATGAGGCCCTGGGTCCGATTCCTCAGCACCACATAAGAAAAAAGCTGAAAGTGGTGCTGTGGCTCAAGTGTTAGAGCACTAGACTTGAGCTGAAGGGTTGAGGGACAGTGCCCAGGCCCAGAGTTCTAGGCCTCACGACCAGATCCAAAAAAAAAGAAATGTAGTCATTACCTTGCCCATGTAATTGTAACCCCTCTGTACAGTATTTTCACAATAAAAAAATTTAAAAAAAGAAACATGTTCTCTCATATAATAGTCCTGGTAAAAATACCAACACATATAACTCTTCTGGAAGAAAACTCAGCAGTACCTATAAATTCAACACATGCACTTACTTTTTAATCTAGCTGTTCTACTCTTGAGCATTTACCCTAAGCATAAGCCCCAACAACCAAAGCTTACATACTGAAGCCTATTCTTTGCATTAGTTTGTAATTGTTAAATATCGTATTGGAAACCACCTAAGTATGAACATAAGAAAGTGAAGAATAAACCATGGCATATACATACAATGTATACTATGCAGCTTTATAAAAAGAATTAGAGGAATGAGATGTTAGTGGTTCACACCTATAATCCTTGCTACTCAGAAGGCTGAGAGCTGAGGATCCCAGTTCTAAGCCAGCCCTGGCAAAAAAAATCCTAAGACTCTAACCTCTGACCACACAAAAATCAAAGCCGGAAGTGGGGGTGTGACTCAAGTGGTAAAGCCTTAAGCAAAAAAGCTCAGAGACAGTGCCCAGGCCCTGATTTCAAGCCCCAGAACCTGCGCGCGCGCACACACACACACACACACACACACACACAGAAAATTAGAAGTTTTCTATGACCTGATAAAGAATGATTCCTAATGATTACTAAGTGAAAAACCTACACACACACACACACACACACACACACACACAGAAAATTAGAAGTTTTCTATGACCTAATAAAGAATGATTCCTAATGATTACTAAGTGAAAAACCTGGTGTCATATATATATGCACATATATGTGTGTATGTATTTATATAACATAATATATAATATTATATATATGAGTGATACAGCTGTGCAGTCATGTGACACATGTGTCAGGCAATGACAGTGGTCTCATAAGATTATAATGGAGCTGGAAAAAATCTAATTGCCTAGTGATGTTGTAATGTCATAGCTCAACATATTATTCCACTTGAAGTGATGAATGATGTTGGTGTAAACAAACCTACTGTGCTACTGATAGCATAGAATATAATACAACCATATACTTTACCTAATAGTCTAATAATAATAAATAACTATGGTACTGGTTTTATGTAGATGGCATGTTATACTTATTATTTTACTGGATTGGGAGGCGGGGGTGGTGGCAATACTAGAGATTAAACTCAGGACTCACACATGATAGGCAAGCACTCATCCTCAGCCCCATCATTGGTTTAGTGTAAAACATACTCCATGTTACTCTGTTACGTCTCATCCTTACTGCTTCTCCTGACTGAATCAACAGGCCAGGCACCAGTATCATCTAGTACGTGTAACTACACACTATGATGTTTGCACACTGATTGTGCCACCTGGCAACATGGTTCTCAGAATAGTATCTTAGTTGAGCCCAGTGGTGTAATTCAAGCTGAGTACAGTGGTGTAACTAAAGCTGAGTGCAATAGTTTAACTCAAGCTGAGTCAGTAGTGAAATTCAAGCTAAATCCAGTGGTATAACTAAGCTGAATCCAGTGTTGTAACTCAGCTGAGTCCAGGGGTGTAACTCAGATGAGTCCAGTGTGTAACTCCAGCTAAATCCAGTGTTGAAACTCAGCTGAGCCCAGGGGTATAAATGCAAGCTCAGTCCAGGGAAGCTGATAGTGTAAGAATATCTAAGAACCAGAAGGCTGGTGTTTTTAAGTCCAAAGGCCTGGGAACCAAGAATTTCAATGTCCACAGACAGAAGGTAGACATCCAGACTCAGAGAAAATTTACCTTTCTTCTATGTTTTTACTCTATCCTAGTCCTCATTAGACTCGGTAATGACATTAGTGAAGTTAGATCCTAGTGTAGTAGTTCAAATGCTCTCTCTGTCTCTCTTTGTTTCTCTGTTTTCTCTGTTCCTCTCTGTTTCTCTGTCTCTCTCCTGTCTCTCTTTCCTCTCTCTCTCTCTCTCTCTCATACACACACACACTCTCTCTCTCTCTTTCTCTCTCTCTCTCTCTGTCTCACACACACACACACACAGAAATGTTGCATCCGCTATCTGGGCATCCCTTCTCAGGCAAGCTGACATATGAAATTAACTATCACATCTCCCTATAAATGACCTTATCACTAGGTAGTATTACATCTATATATTTCTAGATGTGCCTATCCATCCTATTGATATACAGAAGTTATATACATTTCCCAATAAAGCATGTTTAGCCATCATTTTATTAATGTTAATTCTATAAGGTATTTTTCAATTTTTTGAAGTTTAAACATTACAGATAACACTAAAATGCCCTTTGATCACTTTTAGTCTTACCTCATGGAAAATTCTTTCAATCTGCTCCACTAACCATTTTGTTAGTTCAAATAAGGAGAAAAGCAGAGATATCAAGTAAATGATTACATTCCATTCTTGGCATTAATCCTTTCAATTTTACTTGATGGCTTAAAAATTACTTGCAACTGTAAATTATTTTGCAGGCACTACTGCTTCAGCTCTTTCAGACCCTTTCCTAGTCTATAAATATAAACATTCACCTAATTTCCAAAGTTAAAAATGAAAAGAGGTGTGTTTGCTAATGATTCTGAGTCCTTAGCATAGCCCAACATTACAGGCTATATTCCTGGAATCAGTTACATCTTCTACATCCACTACTCCTAAAGTATAGAAACAGAAAGCACCCAGCTGCTTCATACTCACAGTGGTGTGATCAGGAACTAATAATATGACATGCCAATGAAGGCAGAGGTAGATACTAGCTACTCTTGAGTCTTTTTTTTCCTTTGGCGGGTTGTGGGGCTTGATCAGGGCCTAGATGCTCACTGTTCCTCAGCTCTTTTTGCTCAAGCTAGAGCTCTACCGCTTTGAGCCACAGCTCCACTTCTGGTTTTTGAGTGGTTCATTGGAGATAAGAGTCTCATGGGGACTTTTCTGCCATGGCCAGCCTTGAACCATGATTCTTATAACTCAGCACTCGAGTAAATCAGATTATAGGCATGAGCCACGGGCACCTGGCTTACTCTCAAGTAATGCTCAAATATAGTTAAATTCCTGAAGTACTTCTGAAGTTTATGCTTCAAAGAACCATGGAAGAGTCTCAACTATATCTCAGAGGATGGTGATATACTGGAAGAGAAGAAAAGAAGAGATTATGCTCTGATATTACATTCTGCTCACCTTTCCTTTGTTCTGTCAAGCTGTGAATAAGAACATTTAACATGTTTCTCTGTCATTTCGAATTGACATTAAAAGTAAAAAATGAAAGCCAAATGATTCATTGTTCTTTATATATTCTGAGGTGTGCTTAGGCGCATATAATTTTTTTTTCAGTGCTGGCAATCAAATTCAGTGCCTCGTGAATGCTAGGCAAGTGTTCTACCCCTGGTTAGATTCCCAAACCAAAATTTTAATTGTTCTATCTTTCTGGTAACTTGAATATTCTGTTATTTTTGAAATGTTTCTCTATGCTTCTTGCCTTAAACTCTGCTTTGCTATTAGCATAGCTACATTAGTTTTTATAGGATAGTGTTTAGTTTTTTTTCTATTCTTTTACTTTCAGCCTTTTTGGCGATATTACACACACGTACACACACCATATACAGCATTTGTCTTAAAATGTACACAGATTTTGTTTTCCAGTATGCAAATCTTTGATTTTTGTACATAGTTATCATTACTGACATATTTAGTAATCTATAATGTATCTATTTGTCTCACTCATTCCATGCATAATTTCTATTTTCTTAAATCCCTTTTGCATTTATGACCCCCAAAGGTAATTCAGAGATCATCAGAGATGGTGATCGGTTTTAAAAGGGGGAGACTATTGTCACCTTCAACAAGCCAGATGGCCTCTACCCAAAGCCATTAGGACAGGGCTACTCAGCAGAACCCTAAGGAGGCAGGCTTTCCTGGGTAGACTATGAAGTGCAGTAGGAGCCCCACTTCAGTAGATCTGACAGGTGGGATTTCTACCCTAATAGCTAAGGGGTCTAGAACACTAACCTATAAAGGATTATTCTCAAGCCCTAAGGAGCTTGGTAGTGGAACAGAATGTCTAGCTTATGTCTGTTCCATTACTGTATTCTGGGAGCACATATAACTTATTTGGCTTTACAGATTCACAGGTGCAGAGTAATTTGCCTTAGCATGAATGG